CCTGTGCTCGTTACCAGCACAGGAAATTGTAGTTTCAGCCATCGCATTGGTCTTACTCTGCTACTATATGTTTGCAGTGTTTGCTTTGTTTATAAGGTCTTATTTGCACAAATTTTAACTCCATTATGTATGGTATTTGCAAAAGCAGTGAAAGCATCAGAAAAGATAGAGTGCTGAGAAAATGTCAAGCACTGCACGTGAGAATGGAACCAAACCTTGTCCAGTTTTCAAGAACCACATATGCAATACGTGAAAAAGCAGTGTGCCTGAATTACCAACTATAATCAGCAGGAAATGAGGAAAAGTGATTAATGAGATTGGAAAATGTCTGAGTGTCACCCAGTGGTTCTGAAAGCTGTTTGGTAATGTGTGTGGGCACATTTAGTTATCTCAGTAGAGAACACCAATGGCGTTTTATAGTAGGAGGCAGAGGTGGGGGGCTAAATCCTGCAATAAAAAAAAAGCAGTCCCACTCCATAAAGAATTACCCCACCCAAAATGCCAACATCACCACCTACTGAGAAACTCAGAGTATCAGCTTCAACATGGACTGCCCAGAAGCCTAATGTTAACTCAGCACTGGCCAGAGATGATCTGAGAATTTAAAGACTAGGCATGGTGAAAGTGCTGTTCATGAAATGTTATTGCAAGGAATGGACGGTTTCAAAGACTCAAGGCCAATTTGAATCTTCCCAGGATCAAAGCGAGGGTCAGGCCAACAAATACAGACATCACACTGGTTAAATAGTTTGCCATGACATTGGCAGAGATCATTAAGAAAAGGGAACCAATAAAATGCCTATTAGCAAACAGGAGGTAGTGGTGCTTCAGAAGATCTTTATTTGACAGAAAGGCTTTCAAAGACCAAAAATAATCTCACCTATGTCACTTCAGACTTAGAATTCGAAGGGAATCTCAGACACCTGTCAATAAAAGGAAGTGATATTTCAAATGTTAGGAAGGAAGGCATTGGGTGTTCCTGGGACCCTTAAATTATACAGGGGCCCTCCTCTCTTCCCACAAACCCTACCTGGAGAAAACGCAGTAGGTTTCAGCCTCGCCATGAAAGTAGTTTGAAATGATTTCCTTGAGAACGGAAAAGAGAGAGTTCTCTGAGGAAAGAACTGATTCAGGGAAGTGATCTGTGGGAATTCTGGGTGCTCCCAGCACGGAGCAGCACAGAGG